CTACGGATGTGGTGAAGTTTGTGCTTGAGTGTTTGTTTGTGTAGAGGTGCTTGCAGTTTTATGTGCATGCGGGTGTAGCTGGAATTGTAACAGAGGTGTTGATGATACATGAACCTTTCATTATCAATGGCTACACAAATATCGTAAAGTTTGCTTTGCCAGACTTTGACCTCAGTTGTATTGAGTTTGTTTCTCTGTGGGTCTCTATGTACATTTTAATGATTTTATTCTAATGAACTAAATAGCAATTAAAAGCTGTCTTTAGTAGCATCTTTTTAAAAGTTTGAGAGTCTTTAGACACATGGTGTTTCACCCCATGGGTAGGCAACAATACAGAGCACTCAGCCTTTTACGGGTGGTCCTTATAATGTCTGGTTTATGTGTGTAATAGGCTTGATTGATGATCAGTTTTACCTTCTTTGTGACGAATGAGCTTAAAAGGTGAGTTCATGCAATCCAAGATCAGCATTCTTAAGGGGCTTTTATACTGACAGCTAATTGGAGCTACAAAGCAATTGGAAGTCATTAATTTTCAATGAGACTTGCCTATTTGAGTTCATATTTTTCAAATGTTCAGTGACTATCAGTGGAAAGCTGTAAGAATGTTTGCATTCATTATTATGGAGCTTTCATGTAATCAAGCTAGTATTGTTATTGTAATGTGTTTAAAAGTGTTAAATAATTGAGATAAAAGCTGAAATATATATATATATATATATACACATACAGGTGCATCTCAATAAATTAGAATGTCGTGGAAAAGTTCATTTATTTCAGTAATTCAACTCAAATTGTGAAACTCGTGTATTAAATAAATTCAATGCACACAGACTGAAGTAGTTTAAGCAATTTGAGTTGAATTACTAAAATAAATGAACTTTTCCACGACATTCTAATTTATTGAGATGCACCTGTATATATATACATACATACATACATACATACATACATATTTTGTATACTATTATAGTATATAGTTTATAGTAAAACTAACTGAAACTTTTTTAGAGTTTGAGTTGAAGTACTAAAACGGAAATAAAAAAATTAAAGCCGAATAAAATATTAATAATAATAATAAAACAAATATGTAAAAAAAAAAAACACACAAATTCACTATTAACTAATACTATAATAGTATACAAATAATATTAAAATAACACTGAATCAAGCAAGCTACAGTATTTTGTCCAAGTACATATGACAGAATTCACAATTGCATTTGTTTTTTTTTTGGCATTTTTATTTTGATAGGACAGTATAGCAGTGACAAGAAGTGAAGTAGGTGAGAGAGAGGGGGGCGGGATCGGGAAAGGTCCACGAGCCGGGACTCGAACTCGGGACGCCCAGAGCGCAGCGGCACTATATGTCGGCGCACTGCCCACTAGGCTATTGGCGTCGACTTTCAAAGCCATTTTAATGGGTTACTAAGGATATACTGAAAAAATGTTTCATACTAAAAGTTGCTTTGGATAAAAAGTGTCTTATTTTTCTTTTAGACATACCTGCTATGGCAAATTCCCTGAAGGCAAATGTAACACTGAAGGCAGAGAAGGAGATCAGAGAGGAGAAAGAGGGAGCTAAAGAAATGGCTGACACCTTGGATGAGCCTGCAGAGGAGGAAGAGGATGAAGAGGAGAGAAAGGCACGGGAGGCAGCAGCCAGAGAGAGAGCCACTCAGAGGCAGCTCATGGCGATAGAGGAGCTGGTGCAGACAGAGAGGAACTACCTGAAACATCTGCAGCTCTGTACGGTCACCATCCACAACAACCTGCAGAAACTACAGGTAGACAAGTTCTCTAGCAGCCATTTTCAAACATTACATTTGTTAAATTGCAGTAAAAGTCCTGATTTATCTGGTATGGTGACACGTGTTATTCTTAAGACCAACAGCTTTCTGTGTTTTACATGTATTGCTTCTATCACCACTGAAATACAGCACTCTGAAATAATTCTTATATTAATATAAACATTAACAATCTAATCAGATAATATAACAGTTAGTTCTGTTAAAGCTGTATTTAACACATGGCCTCTAAACTGAAAAATGCAATTAATTTTCAGCAAACCTGCCATGTGTGTATATATATATATATATATATATATATATATATATATTTATTTTATT